CTTTCGCGTAACCTCCAGCAACCTCTCAACCTCCGAGGGTTGACTCGCGGGTGCTTCGATAAAGTTTGCTTTACTTCTCGTGTGATGTTTCGACACGACAGAAGCGCTTAAGATTTACTGTTTCCAACATATTCATCCCGTCCACTACCGTATCTTACGTCTTTTTCTCCAAAGCTTTCTGCTACCCCTCTTAGCACCTCCACAATCCTGCTCATATTCCCCAACCCCATTCTCCAGGGCACCTCCCCCTGACACAGCAACAGGTGGTAATCCAACCCACACGCATCCGCCAGCCGATGGAACACGGCATACTCGCTGCCCTGCGCCCCCTGCGGGCGCAACTCCAGCACCACGGCACGGGGCGGCATGAACACCATGTGGTTCAGCAGCGGGGCGTGCGGCGCCACAAGCACACGCGCGCGGTTGAACGTGCGCTTCACTGTCACCAGGTGTGCGTAGGCGAAGAGCTTCGAATGCTTCCACAAGGGCCACATGCAGGTTTGCTAGCTCATGTGTGATGCCCGCTCATGGCCACTTGCCCACGCCACTACCCAGTCGTCCCCTACCCCTCCTCTTGCTGCTGCTGCTGCTGCTGCTGCTGCTGCTGCTGCTGCTGCTGCTGCTGCTGCTGCTGCTGCTGCTGCTGCTGCTGCTCATCCTGTGTCATTTATTTTAAAAAGTGCTCGGAGAGTTTAAGTCTAGATTGAAAAAGGGGGAAGCCATTGCTGCAGTGGGAGGCAGGAAGGGAGAGATGGAGCAGGAGAGGAAGGTCAGGATCAAGGGATCAAGCGACGGGAAAGGAATGGTAAAAAACCAAGGCTCCACAAATAATCATACCATGGACAAACGCGCAAAAATGAGGGAGTGACGGGGGAAGAGAGAAGGAATGTGCGATTAAATGTGACAGAGGGGAAGTGTGTGTTTGAGCGTCGGCGGAAGAAGAGGAAGAGCTGGAAATGACCGATGCAGGTGCAGGGGGTGGGTGTGAATACTGGAAAGAAAGAGTGACTGTGTACGTGTATGCCCATGGGAGGAAGAGGTGTAGAGGTAAAGAAAAGGGAGGAGGGAGGAAGGCAAGAGCGAAGAGTAGGAGGGAGGAGGGAGGAAGGAGGGAGGAGGGAGGAAGGAGGGAGGAGGGAGGAGGAAGGAGGGAGGAGAGAGGGGGGAGGGAGGAGGGAGGAGGGGCGAGGGAGGAGGGAGGAGGGACGAGGGATGAGGGACGAGGGAGGAGGGATGGGGAAGGAGGGGAGGAGGCAGCTCACGGCGGCAGCAGGTAGTGGTGGCGGAGTGTCTGCCAGAGAGCTCGGCTGGGCTTGTGGCAGCGCTGGTGCACCGGCTGTAGCAGAATGTCTGGAGGGATGGGGATGGGGATGGGGATGGGGAGAAGGAGGGCGAGGGGAGGAAGGGGTGCTAAAGAAGATGCAATTGGTACACTTTCCCCTCCCTTGCATAGGTATGCCACCCTAAACCCTTGTGCACAGTACTATCACACATAGGAGTACACAAAACACATTGCCATATGATCATCCCACCACCATTTTACAGACGCATCAACATCCACCCCTGCCCTCACACACTCATTCGGCACCTCCCTTCACACACATTCGCCCACCCGATGCCAGTCTCTCTGCCATGTACCCAAACACAACACATCTGCCCAGTATAAAGCACAGTGCCAAGTGAGATAAGATGATGAGCTCGAGGTTGAGAGGGACCAACTGAGGATGTGGCATGCGCTTGCATGGTGTGGAGGTGGAGAGAGGCAGGCACGGGAATACATGCACGCACCAACGAGCACCACATCACAGCTGCTGAAGAAGAGGCAGTTGGCACGCTATTTACCCCCTTGCCCACCTATAGCACATGAAGCACGCGAGAGAAGATCACAAGCACAAGCACGAGCAGCTAAGTATGAGACATGCCATGGACTGGAGGAGAGGAGAGGCACGGGGTACACGCACGCACCAACGAGCACCACATCACGCCCTCTCAGCCTGCTTACGTCCATTTGCCCAAAGTCCACGTGGGAGAGGAGAAAGGGGGGCCGGAGAGGGAGGCATGGCATGGGGGATAAGGGATTGACAGAAAAATTGTAGGAAGGACGATTTGGGAAAGGGAGGGGGAGGCACGGGTGCAGGAGGAGCGGACAGCGTGAGTGCTGCAATGAGCTGCAAGGCTGGGAAAGGCAAGGCCACTGTTACTGCATGTCTGCTTACCCGCCTTCCTGCTCACTGCTACTGCAAACCGTCCTTGCCATCCCTCATACCCTTTCTCTTTTCACACGCCCCTCTTTTTCCTGCCCATGAGATCGCCTATTGGCTTGATATGACTCTCCTCACAGGGCTCTGACCTCAGGGCCTCTTATCCCCTCTCAGCCATGCTTGCCTAACTACTCCATGCGTCCCATCACCTCACCTCCACACCCCTCCATCCATCTCCTCACATTCTTCCCCTCGCCTTTCCCTCGTCTCTGTTTCCCGCAATGCCCTTCTCCCTTCGCCTCCTTCCTCTGAAACCCCTTGTCATGTTCGATTTCCCATCCACGCACAACCTTCCTTCCCTGTTTGGCATCTCCCTTCGTCCCCCCGTTCTCCACTCGTTCCCCCTTCCCCCTCCCATATACCCCCACCTGGCTCATCCACTGCGGCAGCCGTTCAAAGCCCGCACAACGCACTGCGCGCCGTTGCTGCTGCTGCCAGCACTGTCAACAACAGCACCCGCAACAGACGTGGCAGCGCCAGCAGAGGAGTTACCGACAGCGCCAGGGACGGGGCGAGGGCAGGTGGAGGGGGTGCGGGGGCGGGCGAGCAAGGGGTCGTGCAGGCCTTTGTTCCAACACACCGCCACGCCACTCAACTCGCCCGCACAGCTGCCAAACACCGGACATGCCACTCAACTTGCCCTGGCGTAGATGCACGGGGGTCAGCGCTCCCCACTTCACCTTGCGCCTGTGCCACCGCCCTCCTTTGCCACCAGATGCCTCACCACCGCCGCCCCCATCCGCCCTCGTTTCCGCTGCCAACGCTGCTGCTCACACTGCTGCGGTTGCTGCTGCTGCTCCTCATTCCACTGCTACCACCACATCCCCGACTGTGCCCTTTCCAGTTAGCCCCACTGCCGCTCCCCCCTTTCCCCACGGCCCCGCTTGCGCATCCCGCGGACCCCTTGTCCTTCCCCGCGCCACTCTTCCCAGCTCCCGCATCTCCTCGCCCTCCGCTGGCAATTTCTTGCTCTACCCCGCCCCCGCCTTTTTATCCGCGCCTCCGCCCACGCGGACCTGCGCCGCTTTCGATTGCGCGGAACGACGTGCGGGTGCGCGGTGAGTCCGATCTTCCACGGAGACACGTGCCTGTGCCGCTCCCACTTCACGAACCCGCGGACAAGGCACAGCAGCAGCAGCCACGAGCCGATCCGCCCACTGCTCCTTCCGCCGCCGCCGGTGCTGCTGCTGGGGCTGGGAAAGAAGAAGCGGAGCCACGAGTTGCGCGAGGAGGAGGGCTGCGGGGGGCCTTTGCGCTCCCTTGTGGGGTGCTGCGCGACTTGAGGGCAGTTCCCCCCTCGCTAAATGCCGCCCCAAACCACGTGCTGCGACAAGCCACGTGGGCCGGAACCTGGGAACACGCGGTTGCTTGATCCGCATCGCATGGGTTGCTGTGCAATCGACGATGATCTAACGTGGCGGCTGATGCATATCTCCTCTCAAGCTTATCTCGAGAATACTCTGTGCCCGTTAATAATTCGGGCGACCATGGATGCAGGCCGAGTCAGGACCGACTGAGTCGTCACTTCACTTCTTTCGCAGAGATGGGTGACTTGGTTTCCCTAGTGATTACCCAGCCCAACCTGAGGGCAAACCGACAATCGCATTGACATGACAGCGAGGGTTATTTTGTGTTCTACAAATTTGTATCACATGAGCCGTTCTGGAAAGTTGGAATGATGTTCGACTACAGGTTTTGTTGGATGCTCGAATAACGAGTCAGAGTTTTGGCGCGAGCTGGCAAAACGAACACCGCTCTCTCACGTCATGCATGTCCGCTTCCCAATCGACACGAAATGGAAGTCTGGCGAGTCGATCCATCTCCAGCCTCGCCACCACCACCACGCCGATCTGTGCTGCGCTTTCCTGTCCACCCTACCGCGCCACCACGGCTGGACCTTCACACCCCACCTTATGCAAATCTTTATCCGACAGATCGGTCCGAGCAGTAAGTACTGCTAGTGCGCGAGTCAGTTCTACCAGTCCAGTCCAGTCAGCCAGCATTCCAGCGAGAACGTCGTGGTACTGACAATGAAGACGGAGGAGATAGCGGGAAGCGAGAGCGAGCGCGTGGCGGCGTTGGAGGCGAAGCTGAGGGAGCAGGGCGAGGAGATGGCCGCGCTGAAGGCGGAGCTTGCGCGGATGAGGGCTGCGGCGGAGCGGCAGGCCATCGCGGAAAAGGGTTGGGCCAATTTTCGCGTCTAAGTCCCAGAGCTGCAGGAAAGTTGCGCAAAAGTTGCAGAAAAGTATCCGAGTCCGAGCTTCCGGTCCTTGCAACTTTCCACATTTCCCACCAAGTCCTGCACACAGGGTGAGGCACACATCGGCCGGACCGCCATCGCTGCGGAATGCCAAATTTTCCCGGCGGTCCGTGACATCTCGCGCCGCGGGTGAATGCGATTGGGCAATCAAGTACACTCCGCGGTTCGCATACAAGGAATACCCGTTTGCTTGGGGTGTTTCACAACCGAACACTTCCTCTTACGTTTGGTACACAAGAAATTTGCACATTTCGCGAGAGCCCGGTTGACGCAATCCAACATAGCAAACACATCTGATACACCATTGAATCCTTCTGCATTATCAACCACAACAACCACACATGTTTCCAGCGCAAACCCCACACTTCCAACAAGCAGCACGTACTACGCCTACCACAGCTCCATGGCACCCATGTCATGTATTCTACTCTGTAGTACCAGAGCAACCCGCGCTCCACAAGCACGGCCACACTACTGCCTTACACCATGCGTACGACGCTCTCCCTGTCATCCTCCAATGGGAACAACACACCCGCCTTCGGGATGTGGCCTCCCTCATCCGACGCAGAAGACGTGAGCCCCTCATCACTGGAGCTGCACACCCGGATGCGCTTAGTAGGTGTGCGTCGAAGGCGGCTCGCAACCTCCTCATTCACCACGCCGGCCTCCTCTGGCACGTCCTTCGGCTGAATACCCAAGGCCTCCGCACGCTTCACGAAACCACCGTGAACCATGCGGCCCACCCGGCGACAGCTGCGGCTGTCGCGCATGAGCGGGCCCTCCGGGATGCAAAAAAAGGCTGGAATCTCATCCTCTGAGCCTTCCTCCTCGGCCCCCTCAGGCGCCCACTTCGCAAGGAGAAATTCGTCGCACCCCACAAAGTCCCACGCCGTCATAAACGACCCGCTGCTGCACTTGCTTTTGAACTCCTCGATCACCAGCTGCAGGCACGTCAAGTCCACCACCATCATGTCAAACATGCCGGCCGCAGCTTTCCCCTTCAGGCGGTCCATCCGCGACAGCCAACCCTTCGGCACGGTGCCAGCCCGCCACCAGCTCCTCTGGATTGTCCCGGGCATCGTCAACTTGCCCGCCATGAACAGCTTGTACAGGACATCATGCAGCGGCGGCCTAGGGAACACGCCATCACGTGTCCACTCCGTGCTCGTCATGGCTGACCGCATGAACCACGTCCGGAACACTGCCTTCAACGAGTCCACTACACCATTTATGGCCGAGAACGCAACCGCCGGCACCACGCCAAATGTCTGCACAACCTTCACGCGTGTAAGCTCCTCCACGACAAACCCCTCCACCGTGCTGGTTTCTTTCACACACCCGGTGAGTGTGTGCGTCGGGTTGTGCACCAGTACCACCGCCCTCTCGTTCTTGGCGTGCAATTCCCCATTGAACTCCTCCATGTACTCCGTGAACAACTGCGCGGGCAACTCAACGGATGTCATGGCTTCCCGCATGACGGAGATGAAACGACCACCGAAATGCCACTATACACACTATTCCGCGCAACCTACAAAGTCCAACATTGAAGCCGCTCACCTCGCAAGAAAAACGCCCTTTCCTCGCGTAGCGCACTTTCACGTCGTGCTCCTTCTTGCGCCCCGCATGTACGGGCCTCTTGTCATCCCTTCGTAGAACCACGATCGGCGGTTTCGTGACACATCCCGTCGCATTGTACATGAAGCACACGTGCATGTGCCACTCCCGCGAAAGCTGCGCGCGCTCATCGATAGAAGTCCCTAGAGGCACCCGTGTGGGGATTAGCGGAAACTCCGTGAAAGTGAACACCTTTTCGGGCGGGGCCTTCAGCGCCTCGAGAAGGGATACTAGGGACGCCATTGCCGCAGGAAAAGGTATGCTGCTATTCCAGCTAGTTCAGTTCTGAATCCACACGTGCTGGGGTTTCCTATATCGTTTGCAACACATCCCTGGTTGGGGCCAGTGTGAGAAGAAAAGTTAGAAGAGAAGTTGATGGATTGATTGAAAGGATGGGGGGTTTACATAGGAGATGAGTTGGAAACTAGCCTAGGTGAACATTATTGGACCCCAACCAAGGAGTTGGGTTGGGAGATTATTGGTGGGGTCCAATAATGTTGGCCAAGTTGGAGTTGGGCCAACATTATTGGAGGGGACCAATAATTCTACCCATCCCAACCCTTGGGGTCCAATAATTGGACCAAGGTTGGGTTTCCAACCTACAAATTGGGTAACCCCTGCTTGTACACCCAAACTAAGTTTGGGTGCTTATCTCTAGCCTATCCTATAGCATATATGCAGGTTACAAGAGAGGAGATATTCTAACACAACCCCTTAACCTGCAGAGATGCGGAAAGGCTGGAGAGAAGCAACCCCTGAATCAAGGCGCGCCTGGGGGAGCGAGGCCAATGAGGCGGAGGAGAGCAGAGTGCGCGGGGCGAAGAAGTGCTTTGGTGAAGATATCCGCCAAATTGGCTTCAGTGGCGATCTTGCGGACGGCGATAAGATTCTGTCGGACGAGGTCGCGGATGAAGAAATAACGGAGCTCGATATGCTTGGAGCGACCATGAAAGACTGGATCCTGGGTGAGGTGGATGGTGCTGGCGTTGTCACACCAGAGCGTGGGACAGCGCTGGGGGGCACCAAGCTCTGCCAGAAGAAAGCAGAGCCAGCGGGACTCTTGAGCGGCCATGGTGCCCGCATAGAGCTCAGCTTCGCAGGAAGAGAGAGCGATGGCTGAGGAGCGGGTGGAACGCCAGCTGATAAGTCCGCTGCCGAGGATAAAAGCATAGCCTTGGGAGGAGCGGCGGTCTGGCTGATTGTCTGCCCAGGAGGAGTCACTGAAGCCCGAGAGAAGGGGAGGGGAGGATCCACCCAGTGTGAGAGCGTGATCCTTGGTGCCGCAGAGATAGCGAAGGACCCGCTTGGCGGCAGCCCAGTGTTCCTCAGTGTGACGGCCAGAGCCGACGAACCGAGCAAGGACGCTGACGGGGTAGGCGAGGTCGGGGCGGGTGCACATCATCGCGTACATCAGCGACCCAACGAGCTCGGCGTAGGGCCGGGAGGAGGAGGAGGGGGAGGTGGGTGGCGCAAGTTGGTGACCGAAGGGGAGGGGGGTGGAGACTGGTTTGGCCTGCGCCATCTCAAACCTCTCCAGGACCTGGCCGATGTAGTGGGACTGGGAGAGAGTGATGGTGCGGGCGGATCGATCACGGGTGATAGCCATGCCGAGGTAGTTCTGGAGGGGACCAAGGTCCTTGCACTTGAGTCGTTCCTGAAGTGACCGCTTCATCTGGTCCATGTCGGCCCTGGAATCCGCCAGCAGGATCATGTCGTCAACGTAGACCGAGATGAAAAAGCGACTGGGGGAAGAGCGGATGAAGAGGCTGGCGTCGGAGTGGGAGGGGGAGAAGCCAAGGGACTGGAGAGTAGCAGACAGCTTCGCATGCCATTCTCGTGGTGCCTGCTTCAGGCCGTAGACCGGTCGCTTCAGCTGCCAGACGGTGTTGTCGGGGAACGTAGCATGGAACCCGGGAGGTCGGCGGAGAAAGATGCGTTCGTGCAGTTCACCTTGCAGGAAAGCGTTGGAGACGTCCATGGAGTCAATCTCCATGTCGTCTCTTGCACCGATGTCAAGAAGGGTGCGTAGGGTGGCCTGCTTGACGGTGGGGGCGAACGTGAACCAGTAGTCCTCAGCCCAGGTCTGGGTGAACCCCTTGGCAACGTAGCGGGCTTTGTAGACTGGTTCTTCTCCCGGCAGCTGCTTGACTCGAAAGATCCACTTGCCCTCAACCAGGTTGGCGTCAGGAGGGAGGGGAACGTCAATGAAGGAGTTATTGTGGATGAATGCTTCACATTCCTGAAAGATGGCGGCTATCCACTTATCGGCGTCAGGGCAGGTGATAGCCTCTTGGAAAGTGGAGGGGACGAAGATGGTGGGAGCGGGGATCGCGCTAAGGAGTAGGGCGCCGAGGAGGTCAGGGGAAAGTACTGTGAGAGAGGGAGTGTGGCGCCGGACCATGGTGAACTCCTCATGGGAGTCCTCCAGTTGGTTGAGGGAGGGAGGAGACGGTGCACCAAGGATGGGGTCAAGGGAGCGGGTGTGCATGCGAGGGAGGAGGAAGGGTGAGGAGCAGGCAATTGCCCTGTGCCGCTGCTGCTGCTGCTGCTGCTGGTGCTGCTGGAACCCCTGCTGCTGCTGCGGCTGCTGTTGCTGTTGTGGCTGCTGCGGCTGCTGCTGCTGCCGCTGCTGGTGCTGCCCTTGCTGCTGCTGCGGCTGCTGCTGCTGTTGCTGCTGCTGCTGCTGCGGCTGCTGCTGCTGCTGTTGCTGCTGCTGCTGCTGCTGCTGCTGCTGCTGCTGCTGCTGCAGCTGCTGCTGCTGCTGCTGCTGCCGCTGCTGTTGCTGCTGCTGCTGCTGCTGCTGCTGCTGCTGCTGCTGCTGCTGCTGCTGCTGCTGCTGCTGCTGCTGCTGCTGCTGCTGCTGCTGCTGTTGCTGCTGCTGCTGCTGCTGCTGCTGCTGCTGCTGCTGCTGCTGCTGCTGCTGCTGTGATGGATGAGGAGGGGAGTGGGAAGGGGAGGGGGGAGGGGGGGCCGTGGAGTGTGCGGGGGAGGCAGGAGCAGTGGGATCGTAGACGTCGGCGGATGAAGGTGGCGGAAGCGGGGTGGGGAGGGGTGGGAGAAGAGGTGCCGGAGGGAGGAGGGGAGGGAGGACGGTGTCGGCCCAAGCGAGAGGACGTGTGGGAGGAGGGAGGGGGTCCGGTGGTGGGGAGGAGTAGTACGGGGTGGTCTCATCGAACACAACGTCAATGCTGCGGATGAGGCGACCAGAGGGAGGGTGAAGGAAGAGGTAACCAGGCGAGTCGCGGTTGTGTCCGAGGTAGACACACTCGAGGGCGCGAGGAGCGAGCTTGCCTTGGGTGCGGTCGGGTGGAGGAATAAGCACATATGCCTTGCAACCCCAGACACGGAGACCGGCAGCGTCAGGTTTGGTTCCTGACCAGAGCTCCGTGGGGGTAGCGGCAGTGTGTTGGGGATGGGAGTGAAGGTTGAGGAGGAGGGCAGCATGGAGGAGGGCATAGCCCCAGAGAGAGGGAGGGGTGGAGGCGTGAGCAAGGAGACAGCGGGCGATCTTAGTGATTTCGCGAATGCGGCTTTCTGCAACGCCGTTCTGCTGTGGGGAGTGGGGAAGAGTGTGGGTCTGTTGGATGCCATGGGTGGCGCAGTAGTGAGAGAGAGTGCGGTTGAGGAATTCGCCTCCCCCATCAGAGTGGAGGCGGCCGATGGGACGTTTGAAGTGGGTGCGGCATTGCTCTGCCCAGTTAATGATAATGGTCGGCGCCTGGTCTTTGGTGTGGAGGAGGAAAATGGAGGAGTAGCGGCTGTGATCGTCAACAAGAACCAACATGTAGCGATGGCCTTGGCGTGAGCGGGTGGGAGAGGGCCCCCAGAGGTCCATATGGACAAGGTCAATGGGTGCAGGAGCGAAGGATGGGTGGCTGTGGTGAGGAGATTGTTTGAGTTTGCCGTGGATGCAGGAGGGGCATGGGGGGGCTGGTGAGGAGGGAAGGGGAGGAAGAGTTGGAGGGAGGCTGTGAAGAAGTCGTGAGGTGACGGCAGTGCGGAGAGCGGCAAAATTCGGATGGCCGAGTCGGTGATGTAGGAGAACAGCGGGGTGGGAGAGATGGTCGGAGGTGGAGGGGATTGGAATGAGTGAGGAAGGGATGGAGGAGTGGGGAGGAGACGGAGTGGGAGGAGAGGGAGGGAGATGGGGAGGGCTGGTGGAGGTACCCGCACGAGTGGTAACATGGCAGGAGGATGGCCACGGAGTGCGGAGAGTGTAGAGGCGAGTGCGAGGGCAGAGGCGGCCGGAGGCAGTGTGGTAAAGGTCACAGTAGGTGGCATTACCAGGATAGACGGCAGTGATACCTGCACCTTGGATTTCACGGTGGGAGAGGAGGTTGTTTCGGAGAGTGGGGATGTGGAGACCAGTTACCTTGCCAGAGGGGAAGAGTGAACAGGGGAGAGTGGAGAGGTGTGTGCATGGGATGGTGAAGCTGCTGTCAGCACCGTGAACTTGAGTGGGAGGGGAGAGGGGTGTGAGTGTACCAGCGTCTTTGAGGGCGGTCTCAGTGGCCCCACTGTCAAGGACAAAGTCCAGAGTGGGTGAGGAGGAGGAAGACACTGAGTACTGGAAAGTGGTTTCATTAATGTTGGATGGGTACATGGAAGGAAGAGAGGGCGAAATAGCTATGTTGCCAAGGAAGCTCTCGTGAGTGAGAGGGGTGGCAGTGCTACTGGGGGGGGGTGGGGCACCCCAAAGGGGGGCAGGTGAGGCTTGAGCGGCCATGGCTGCTGTGCCAAAGTTCAACTGCTGCTGCGGCCAGGGAGGAGGGCTGGGTCCCCACTGTGGCTGGGGTCCTGACCCCCATGGGTGCTGCGGCGGCTGTGGCTGCTGCTGCTGCTGCGGCTGAGGCTGAAACAGCTGCTGTAACTGCTGCTGCTGCTGCTGCTGCTGCTGCTGCTGGAGGTGCTGCTGCTGGAGGTTGAGGAAGGGTGTGGGGGGAGCAAGGAGGCGGAGGTGGGCTGGGAGGTAGGCTGGATTGGTTTGGATATCGGTGGGGGAGGGGCGTGGGGAGATGTTGCCCCACTTTGGAGGAGTGCCAACGTTACCCCGCGCGTACCAGGCATCGTCGAGAGCCTTGAAGCACGTGCCAGGGGGATGGTTGGTCTGTCCGCAGGGAGTTCCAGCCCGAGGACCATAGCGGCGGACATAGGTGCAGGGAGGAAGCGTGCCAGGGCGACTCCCGCGACTTGCAGTGGGTCCACCCGAAGTGGTGGTGCCGTGCTCATCCCCAGTGGTGCCACCACGGTTGTTGCTGCTTCCCGAACCACCACCTCCCTTGCCCCCACCTCCTCCTTTGCCGTTGTTCTTTCCCTGCTTGCGAGGCTGGGTAGCGTTGAGGGAGGAGGAGGTGGGTTGGGAGGAGGCGAGGTTGACGATGGGTGTACGGAGTTTAACTTCGGTGTCGATAATCCACTGTTCAACGGAGGCGAGACCGGCCATGGGATTGGCTTCGGTAAAGGCGTGGAGGCGGGATTCGTAGTCTGGGGTGAGGTTAAAGAGGAGGCGGTGGATTTGAAGAGGTTCGGAGAGGCCGGCCTGGCGGGCTTCGAGGCGATCAGCTACCTCGCGCATGCGTCCGACGTAGTCGACTGCTCCGTCACAGGTGGCGAGGGTGATGGAAAAATACTCTTGGAAGAGGATGCCGACGGAGCTGATGTCGCGGCGCTCAAACATGGCATGGAGTTCTGCCCAGATGACCGAGGCACGGAGTTCCCGAGCCTGGAAGCGACGCATGAGGGAGTCAGGGAGAGCTCCAAGGAGAACGGTGCAGGCACGGGTGTCAGCAGCTGTCCAGGCGATGAGTCTGGGGGTGAAGTCAGCCATGTCGACCTTGTATTTGGCGACGACCTCGAGGTGAGCGTCGCGACCAGCAACCGCCTGATCATAGGCCTCAACTGCAGCATCGTACTCGGCTTTGCGGATGAGGTATTCACGGCGGCGTAGGATAAAATCAGTGTCCGCAGTGGCTTGGTCGGGGGTGATCTGAAGATCGGGTTCACGAGGAGGGTCGCCAGGAGTAGGAGGAAGGGGAGGAGTCTCGCCGGGGTGGGGAGGTTCGGTGGGGGGGAGGGCATGGGGGCGGCGGAGGATGACGTCAAGGACACGGTAGGGGGGAACCCATGCGTCGGAGAGAACGCGTCGGATGCTGCCGACGAAGGAGTGCCAGTTGACTGCGGACTTGTCCGCGGCGAGCTGGAGCTTATCAATGGAGGACGTGTCAATAGGGGGAGGAAGTGGGGAGGGGAGGGGGAGGGTGTAGGAGTAGCCATGATGGACGGCTGCAGGTGGACCCGCAGTGGTCACGGAGGAGCAACGGCGACGAGGCCGGGGGGGGGGGGGGGGGGGGGGGGGGGGGGGGGGGGGGGGGGGGGGGGGGGGGGGGGGGGGGGGGGGGGGAGGGGAGTGGCGCGGGCAGCAGCGGCTGGCGAGGCCGCGGCGGTTGGCGCGGAGGCGGCGGTTGAAGCCGCAGAGGGGCGCGGACGGCGGCGGCTGGCGAGGCCGCGGCGGCGGTGCTGGCGGGGAGGCGGCGTCGAGGCCGCTGGAGGAGAAGGCGCGGGCGGCGGCTGGCGAGGCCGCGGCGGCTGGCGCGGAGGCGGCGACGAGGCCGCGGAGAGGCGCGGGCGGCGGCTGGCGAGGCCGCGGCGGCTGGCGCGGAGGCGGCGACGAGGCCGCGGAGAGGCGCGGGCGGCGGCGGTTGGCGAAGCGCGGCAGTGCCGGCCGCGGGAAGCGGCGACGGAGTCGGGGGGAGGGAGCGGCGCGAGCGGCGGCGGCTGGCGAAGCCGCGGCAGTGCAGGCGCGGAGGCGGCGACGAGGCCGCGAGAGGGAGCGGCGCGAGCTGCGGCGCTGGCGAGGCCGCGGCAGTGCAGGCGCGGAAGCGGCGACAAGGCCGCGGGAGGGAGCGGCGCGAGCGGCGGCGGCTGGCGAAGCCGCGGCAGTGCCGGCGCGGAAGCGGCGACGGGGTCGCGGGAGGGAGCGGCGCGAGCGGCGGCGGCTGGCGAAGCCGCGGGAGTGCCGGCGCGGAAGCGGCGACGGGGTCGCGGGAGGGAGCGGCGCGAGCGGCGGCGGCTGGCGAAGCCGCGGCAGTGCAGGCGCGGAGGCGGCGTCGAGGCCGCGGAAGGGAGCGGCGGCGGCGACGGCGGCCGCAGTGGCGTTGGCACGGAGGCGGCGTCGAGGCCGCGGGATGGGGCGGGCGGTGGCGGTCGGCGGGACCGCGACAAGGCGAGCGCGGAAGCGGCGGTGGGGCCGCGAGCCGTGATGGCGTGGGAGGCCGTGGGGCTGCGAGGAAGGGAGTGCTTGAGGAGAGGGGGAGGGTGGCGAGATAGCCGCGGAGAATTGAGAAAGGAGGCCGGGGGTTGCGGCGGCCTTTGAAAAAAAACTAGGAGCGTAGGCCTAGGATTTTTAAGAGCTCTATACCATGTGAGAAGAAAAGTTAGAAGAGAAGTTGATGGATTGATTGAAAGGATGGGGGGTTTACATAGGAGATGAGTTGGAAACTAGCCTAGGTGAACATTATTGGACCCCAACCAAGGAGTTGGGTTGGGAGATTATTGGTGGGGTCCAATAATGTTGGCCAAGTTGGAGTTGGGCCAACATTATTGGAGGGGACCAATAATTCTACCCATCCCAACCCTTGGGGTCCAATAATTGGACCAAGGTTGGGTTTCCAACCTACAAATTGGGTAACCCCTGCTTGTACACCCAAACTAAGTTTGGGTGCTTATCTCTAGCCTATCCTATAGCATATATGCAGGTTACAAGAGAGGAGATATTCTAACAGCCAGGGTGGCCACTCAAGTGCCACCTCAGCATATCATCCGGCTCCCGTACCCTGAAAGCGATTGCTCCAGAAACACCACCCAACTGTATCCACCAATTACTCAGAACTGCGCACCAATCGCTAACCGGCATTCGGATATCGACCACTTCCCAACCGAGTCTCCAACCCCCACCGCATGTCCGTCGTGGCAGACACCTGCGCCCCGGTACACTGAAACCCGAACGCGCAAAAGTGTTGCAGTTCTGTACAGTGCGATATTGTATGCTGGCGGCATACGCGGCACAGCATACCCCATGTCCACTCACGGGAGGATCGGATACACCAAATGTGTATAACTAGGTTGTCCATTTAACAACTACAGAAACCAACTCCACCTATGTTCAGACTCCTCGACTAACTACCGTACTGGCGCATTGGTGTGACTAATTGCACACAGCGTGCGGGGCACGTGATTAAGGCCTACTCATACTACTTGCATGTCAGTCACATGTTTGTGTCGACCGGTCAGACAGCACACACATAAGCACACCCTTCCCATCCTGGCGTCCGACGCATACGCCACGACCAATGAATCACTCACACAGCAAGAACTTGTTCAGCAGCAACACCGCGGGGTTGCTGAACGAGCGACAAATGTGCACAACGCGCTCAATGCTCTCCACAGCAATCACTGCGTGCCTTGTATCCTTGCGCGACGGGGTCAGCTGCACGCAGGTGGTGAGAGGGCAAATGCCTGCCCTCTCATACCACCGCACGTACACAAACCCCTTCCGGTCGCCCTCTGCGGTCTCAGCCTTGAAGATGCACAGCGCCTTGGCATACCACTCCTCCTTCTTGGGAGACTTCACTGCAAAGTCCGTGAACCACTTCTCTTTGGGGCTTGCCTTGACGAACGCGCCCTTGGAGACCAGAGCTCCTCCTTTGGTGCGTGGAATCGCCACCGCGGTATGGGCCTGCATGAAGGGGGTCAGAGGGAGGTGAATGTCGTTCTTGTGTGTGCAGACAAAGGACACGTATAGGGGCATAAGCACTTCCTGTATGGCAACCTGAAGTGAAGGATACAACAACAGGACGCGTATTCACCACGACCGCGGATGCCGTGATGGATGCAGCCACCATGCTCCCCGGCAGCGCATCCATGAGGTGGCCCAGTGCCGTGCGGTAGGTTCCCATCACAGCGTCGCCCTCCTCCGCCGGCCGCATTGTGCGACCCTTCCTCGTGAGCACGGGTTTCATCGTCTCCACGGCCTGCGGGTGTGGTTGTGCATGGGAGTAAGGCGACATTGTCAAAAACCAAGGCTGCGCGATAAGGCAAAGGGTCACCTTCGGACGGCCTACGATGGGATCTGCACCAAATAGGCTCACCTCGCGCAGCGCTGTCGCATACTGTCGCCCACCACCCGCGTCCTGTGCCACCTCCCTGCAGATCTCCCTCTGCACCTCCTCCTCCACGATGCGTCTGGGGATGTCCTTCCAGTTGCCGCCCCTGACGGGGTTCTTGACCATCCCCTTGTGGGTATGCTCCCACATCTCCGTGCTGTAGTGGTGCGGCATGCCGCGCCAGATCACATTGTCCATCAAGTGGACAATCAGGTGGATCTTGGGAAAGCGCCAATGCGATGCGTGGTCCGGGTATGCCTGTGGCAGGATCTCCACCAACCTGTGGTGCAGTGCATCGCATGACCACACGCTTCAGTCGGTGTTGCAATGGCCAGAAACTACAACCCTCCCGAAGAGCTAAGCGTGTTTCCTTTGCCTTCCACACCCCCCACCCCGTCAACTCCCATCCGACATACTTGATGGCGTGGGCCCGTGCGGTTGCGAGCGTGGCCTGCGTGTGTGCGCTGACCCCCAGAAATGCCTTGTAGAAGGTGGCGTACATCCGGAAGGCACGCACGCGCAGTGCGACCAACTCGCCTTCCTTTCCCGAACGCAGGGCTGACTTGTCCGCCACCAGGATGGGCATGACCTGCATCATGCTGCGGTGTTCAAAGGCGGCATAGTTCGCGCCGCTCATGAAGTAGGAGCTGCCTCCAGGGAGTCGCAAGATGACACTCGGGGTCTCTCCCTTGGTTGTCTTCTTGCGCCTGAAGCAACGGTGGGAACGCGCATAGGCACATATACGGGTTTGCCATCATACTGGTCTCACGTGCACAAGACCCGAGGTGCTTAACGTACGTGGCAACCCGGGCCTACTCACCTCTCAACATCACGCCGCTCAGGCTTGCTTAGCACCGCGATGTGATTCTCAAGCATGTGCAATGCCATCCCCGAATCCAGCACGTGCATGATGTCGGCCGCGCAAGCCCCAAACGGGTTTCCCCACGTCGTGTGCGAGAAGTTCCACCGCGAGAGTACGCACTGCCGGTGGTTGTTGCACGTTTGGGGAGACACAATCTCAGATCATGTTGCGAATTACAGCATGTGTAGGACAACACGACAGCCCCCACCCCACTAGGGACGCACCTCCACGGGATGAGTTGACCACTCGGTCTGAATCTCCTCCGCAGCTGTCAAGGTCTTGCACGAAAGCATGTTGCGTAGCACGTGCATCTCCGACTCCACTGTCCGAGGTGTGGCCACATGCTCGAGGTCTCGAAGAAGCTCTTCCGGGACGTAGCAGTTGCAGCAGGGCCGCTTCGTCCCCGTTTGCAGCGTCGCCGTAGCTCTGCAATGTTCGATGAAGTCCCCGGGGTAACCAAAAAAACATGGCACTGCCTTCACCGGCTCTCCCTTGGCGTCGGTGACGTAAAAGACTCTCAGTGGAGCGCTGCGACAAGGGATGTAATCCGGGATGGAAATCACAACCGTCAGTTGCAACCGGGAACATTCAAAGAGGGAAAGATCAAACCACTGTATGGTGGTCATGCGTTGGTGCTGTGTACGTACGTCGAGGATTCCCGCATGAGCGGCGCCAGTATGATCCGAATCGCCTCCTGAAACACTCGGGCCTTCTCTGTAGAGGTAGCCCACTCCGGAGGGAAAGGAAGCACGCCAGCCAGAGCATGGCCTGGTTCTGTCTTTCGCAGCTCCTCCGGTACGTTCACCAGCGTAAGGAGGAAGGGCCATGCCTGACGGCGCCCGTTGCGCGTTGCGTTCGTGCCGTCGCTGTAGACAATGATGCCGAGCACCCATGCTGATGGGTCGTCCACCTCCTTCTGCCACACATTGAGTGCATTCCGATGCACGGGAGCCAAAAACAAGGCACAGAACAACTACGGTACCTGAGCCTCTTCGAGCCATTTGGCCGTCTCCGGGTCGCTGTAAATCCGCGCATTGGTCTTCGGGTCCACATCAGTCCGAGGTTGTGTTACGAACCCCTTCACTCCCCCAAAGATGCGCACAATCTTCTTCACAAGCTGGAAAGGCGGCATACGTCAGCACGCCTAGTTGAATGGGAACACACCTCACGTAATGCTGGCAAGAAACTGCGCGGGTACGTACCTCCTCCGTGTTCCTATAGTGAAGCGGGAGCTTCTGAGTTTGACCCTTCGGCCCTCTGACCACGATCTCTTCGCACAGCCACGGGACCATGTCCGGAGGCGCCCTGGATTCCCCCCATCTCCGCACGTCTAGCCAATGTCGAGATAGTAAAGATAGTTAGGAGCCATAGCTAGGAGAACCCTAGCTAGGCAAGAGAAGTTTAGGCAAAGAGGGGTTGCACTAGTAAGAATGGGGATACAAATAGCAAACCCTAGAAGGGTTGTACTCGCTATAGAGCACCCCACTACAGGCTAGAGCATAATATTCTGACACACCCCCATAGCCAAAGTGGGGTGTAATCAGCAGAGCAAGCAAAGCAGTACAAGCTCAGGGTGGATCACAATGTCACCACACATTCTGAGCACAAGTTCAAGAAGCAATAGTTTAAAGTTCACAATTATGAGCAAAGCTAGTGGTAGTCACAACGGGCAAGTGAGGAGGAGGAAAGAGACTATGAGAGGAGAGGAGGTAGTGGGCGGCAGCTGAAGCTGCTGGCACACGGCGCAACTGGAGCAACTGGCACACGGGCAACTGGAGCAACTGGCACACTGGCAACTGGAGCAACTGGCACACGGGCTACTGGAGTAACTGGCTCCGCGGCTGAAAGTAGCGGCAGACGAGCAACGGACTCACGGGCGACTGGAGCAACGGGCTCACGGGCGACTGGCGCAACGGGCTCACGGGCGACTGGCGCAACGGTCTCACGGGCGACTGGAGCTGCTGGCTTCACGGCGGCCACCCCCTTCAACCTCCCCAAACTATCCCACTCCCCCTGACACACACCCGCTGCTACACCGCTAGCTCCACTCCCCCTTCACCCCCCCTTAGTACCACTCCAACGGCTCCAACAAGTCCACCCCCCCTCAGCGGCAGCTGCAGCACAGGGAGACGGAGGAGGAGGAGGAACAGGGAACGGCACTCAGTGGCTTCACCCCCATACCCCTCACCCCCAAACCCTAATTCAGGAGAACGGGCTGTAGGAGGGGTGGGGCGCCAGTAGAAGCACGGGGGACAGTGGGGAGGGCAGGGGCAGCGAGGAACGGGCCGCCCACGGGCCTGGCATAGCCGCCCGAACCGCGCGCAGGCGGCCCGAGCCGCGCGCGGGCCTGGCGCTTCCCGTACGGGCCGCACGCCGGCTGTACGGGCCGCGCGCAGGCCACGACGGGCGACGGGGGGCGACGCGCGGGTCCCCGTCGCCCGTCGCAACGCCTCCCGGGGGCGACGCGTCGAGTGACGGGGCAGAAGCCCGCCGCGCGCCTCGGGGCGCACAGCGGGCAGAGAACCGCCGCGCGCCACGGGGCGCACGGCGGGCAGAAAACCGCCGCGCGCCTCGGGGCGCACGGCGGGAAGAAAAAACTGCCGCACGCCACGGGGCGTGCGGCACATAGAGTAGCAGCGGAAGTTGCAGCGGAAGCAACGAGGTGGTGAGCCCACCCACAGGATCGATCCAAAGGGATCGACCTGCTCTGATAGCATGTCGAGATAGTAAAGATAGTTAGGAGCCATAGCTAGGAGAACCCTAGCTAGGCAAGAGAAGTTTAGGCAAAGAGGGGTTGCACTAGTAAGAATGGGGATACAAATAGCAAACCCTAGAAGGGTTGTACTCGCTATAGAGCACCCCACTACAGGCTAGAGCATAATATTTTGACAGCCAATTGCGCCAGCGCCGCAATGCACGCAGGTTGAATCTAGGGTTTCTGAATATGTGCAGAAGACGGTTCACTTCGCGCCGTGATAGGTCGGCGTCTCGGATGAAGAGATATATCGCAGTCAGGGTGTCAAAAATCTCCCCGTCAGAACTCTGATCACTACAGGTGGAGTGCTCGTCATCATCGCTGTGCTCTAGTTCAGCGGCGGTCGGAGGAGCACTGCGCTTCTCTGACGACCTCTCACTCTGGCCGCCCGTTCTGGTGTTGCCCGGTCCGGGAGTACTAGGTGCATCGCGAAAAAATGCCTGTCGTGCCTCGAGGTATGCCTCTGCTAGGAGGATTTTCCCCCGCCCTAAAATCTTCTCACGGCAGGCATCGCTGGATGACAAGTGCGATTGCAGCCTGTTGTCGTCGCGGAATGCTCTTTTGCATCCTCCGCACACGTTGCCACTCATGATACCCCCCGCAAACCCTAAAGGAACATACCTCACTTGTTGAGGACTTTTGTGTGAGGTGAGCTCGCCCTCACACGATACCCGTTAAATTCGACCGCTGTTACTGGTGTGCTTGAGCTTACTTTGCAAACGCGAGCTATGCGCAAAATGGGATCACTGCACAACATGATTTGGTTGGATGCTAGTATCGGATCACGCTATTGTCGGGTATCCGTTCTCTTACGTATCGATAATTTGCAATCGAGTAGCTTGACCTCTGTTATGCGCAAATCAGCCTACACCATACAGGGTACCTTTCGTGCATGCCAGCGTGATCTGCATGCCATGGTTTCGCGCCACATGTCATGCTTCTAGGTTTTCCCGCCACAAATCTTACGGATCCATCACATCGCTTCCGAGGCCAGGCCGACACTGCGCACCAGTGTACTGGCATTTGGCCAACATAAGTTAGACGTCGGCGCATACTCTGTCATTTCCATCGCTTAGATTACCTTTCGCTCCTGCTTTTTGATCCGACATGTCCCCTCTTGGGCGTGCCCGCGACAAGCAGTGTGTTTCTAAGGAACGATCTCAGTGCGGTGCTAAGAAAGACAACCCTGCTAGCGACGGAGATGTCATGGAGGTCCGACCAATAGTGCGTTCCCTCCGGAGCGGCAGGCGACAAACGACAACTGAAACCCCTGCCAAGAAAGAAGGCTTGAAGACCGAAGGCGGGGACGGTCCTACGCAGGTATACAAGACGACGCTGGAAACGGAAGCGGACCTCCCGGAGCCTCACGACCTTGTCTATCGCCTCCGCACAGCAAAACGCCCCGAGAACATGAAACACCTGACGCTATTCAACGCGGACGGCGTTGGTTGTGTCGTGGAAGCTTCGGACATCGTCACCATCGCCGACGGTGAATGTATCACCGACGCCATCGTTGACTTTCACAACGTGTGAGTGTAACACCGAGCGTTAACTAGGACGTGAACAAGTCGGTCGATGGTTTAATGTTCCCCGTTGTGTACCCGCACCATCACGGTTTGTGGACCGGACTGTGTGCAGGCTACTGAGCATTCGGTGCCCCACGACGCCCAACGGCTCAACATGGGCCGCCGTCGACAGCAAGGCTTTTGACTACTGCAACTCGTTCAAGAAGCCTTACACTATGGGAAACTCTTCTCGAATCTTTGACGTGGACTTCTTGGCCATTCCGATCTTCAAAAGGTGAGCACCAGAGGTTAGCGGCGCGGTGCAGCCGATAGTCAAGTGTTCATCTACTGCCACAACCGATTAACAATCCCCATACCCTTGCCACGTTGCAGTTCGCACTACTCGCTTATGGTCGTGCCGTCCCCAAAGCGGCTGCTACGCGCCACCACGGATGAAGCCACTGGCCCTTTGGAGTTGATCTTACTCGACAGTTACGGCACGCACCGTGACGACCCATCTGTGTTTGATCGCGTCAAACTGTAAGTTACTGACTGCACATCTAGACTCGTGATTGTATCTCACGTGTCACACGCTGAACCCCAACTCACCCTTTTCGTTGTTGCTGTCCCAGGTTTCTGGAGCTAACCGCCAAGGACTTACACCCGGAGTGCGATGAAGCCACGATTGTTGCAAATCTGAAGGAGGCAAAACCCATTCCGATGAAGGTGTGTGCTTCTCCTGCTAGTAACCCGTGTCGACGCACATGCCATACATCTTCACATCTATAATTTTGTGTTCTTTTACGTGGTACGTTACGTGCGTGCAGAAGCATCAGGTGCAGCAGCAGGACAACACGCATGATTGTGGCATCTTTGTGTGCCAATTTCTGAAGGTGTTGGTGGACACTGACTTCAAGACACTATGATCTTACCTGTACTTGGGGGGCGTCAGTGCGTTGGAGATGCGGCGGGACATGCGGGTGGACCTATGCATGCATGCGGCGGAAGACCTTATATCGTCGCTGGCGAGGCTGGGAGTGGTGGTCCCGAGGCAACCCGCCCCCAGGGTCGCGAAGCATGGGGCGGTAGTCGATTCAGGTGCGGAGGATGGCAACACGCAGCTAACACGGATGCAGGTGGAGCACTACAGTATGAAGCGGGACTTGACGATCTGGAAGGCAGCTGTCACAGCTGTTGGAGCGGCCATGGGGTACAGTGTCGATCAGCTCATTGCTGGAGCTGCCCACGTCCTGCAGCAGCAGGCTTCTGATGGGGAAGCGGCGACACCTGGGTGCAGTGGGTCCACTGCACCGTCCACGCCCAACCCACGTGCAGGCGCGCGGGCAGGAGCCCCCGACAGCCCCGGTTCCAAAGGAGACCCTCCTGTGAGTGTTGGCCAGGGTGGTGCTGGCACCACAAATGTCGATCTAGGGGTGGTACATCCCTGCCCGTCCCCGCTGCCCGTGCCGGCGAAGCCGTTGTGGTCGCAGAAGGCAGCCCCGGTGTGTGTGCCCTTCACGCATGAGGCAGCGCATACGGTCGTTCAACCAGGTGGGACGAAGCCCGTGGTATTGGCTATGCCGGCAAAGAGGAAACGAGACGACACTCCTTCGCCCGGGAGTGATGCTGAGGGCGCCATCCCCGCTAGCAAAAGCAAGGGTAATGGACAGGGTCGGAGCTCCAAATGGAAGGGTGTGCGGAAAGAGAAACGGGGGAGGTGGAGCGCTAAGATACTGTTCTGGGAGAAGGATAAGCCCAAGCGCACCCAGATGAGGCTGGGTGCGTACAACAAGGAATTGGAGGCAGCCACTGCGTATGCAGCAGCTGTGCACGTGGTCAAGGAGGGGCGACGTGTGTCAGGGACAGTGGAGCTGTCGGATGAGGAGAGGGGGCTGCTGAAGGGGTGCACATTGTCCGCAGTCAAGAGGCTGGTAAGGGGCAGACAGTGGTTTCGATGGACAGAGTGGGAGACGGCACTGGCGGACTGTCCGGAGGAGGACTCAGGCGGGGAGGGGGAAACGCACTCCGATTCACAGGATGATCAGGCGGCGGATGCGCATGGAGGCGCCGCCAAGGAGGTGGATACGAAGATTGAGATGGGCGGGGTGAAGAAGGGTGTTCCTGAGGCGCAGGTTGGGAGGGGAACGCCGAATGAGCTCAATGAGGAGGAGGCGGATACACTGGACGGAGTGGCAGAACAGGGTATACATACAGGCGTGTCGCTGGGGGATGCCTTTGAGGAGGCAATGTTTGATGTTGACCCTGAAGGGGTGACAGAGGGCTGATTCTGTGGTGCATTCGTGTCGTCGTTAGCAGTGAAATAAGTTGTAATTGTGTAGTGCAATGAAATAAGTCACTGTATACGTTAGTTGGGTTCGGCTGTTGCATATAACGAACACCACGAGCATACGCGGGATGCTACACAACCGTGTGATAGGCTGTTGGGTTTGTCTACCAAGGGTGGAGGGATATCGCGAGATCCAATGACATGCTCACACATGGCCCGGGGGTCACTTGCAATCCGGAGCAACAAACGGGACTGGCTAGCGTGATTGCGGGACCTGACATAGGGCGTTAGAAGTGGCTCTTGTAGGAATGCGCATACTTCTGTCAAATTGTGTTCGGATCCCGTAGGAGGTCCGGTTTGCATCTCAGGAATGGAAACTTCCTTGGGAACGTCGGAAGAACTGCCAGCAGGCCGCTCACAGCGGCCTAAGCGCACACCAGCGTATCTCCGCAACGAGTATCACCTGCCTGGTAAACGTTCTCGTGAGCCGAAATGTGTGCGCGGGAATGCGGGGCATTTCAAGCGTCCGAGGATTACGAAGCAGAAGTGTGTCCCAGTCGCAGGTAAAATTTTTGTATGGGTTTTGCAAGGACTGGGGGGGACTATGTGGGTACTGTTGCTCACTACACGAGTATGTCATTGTTATGTCATTGTTATGCGATATGCTGACGTCGTAACCATGGCGGCTGTATGCGTTGTTACACCCGCGATCAGGGGTGGCTAGTGCGGCACAGGGAGCATCGCAAGTGACGCCGCAGGCGGCGGTTTTGTCAAGCGTCGGCGCAGGAGATGAGGATGTCGGCAGCGACGGGGGAGGCGAGGATGTTCCTGTCCGCTCCAAAGCGGTCGCGTCGGTTATGGCGGACGAGAACCCGGCCGCGCACGACACGGCGGCGAAGGCGCCGAGGCCTTCGGTGCCGGACAACCCTTTCGTGGCGATGCCGAGCGTGTCAGGGCAGCCGGCAAGTGGTTCTCGGCGTGAGGAGACGTCAACTAACGACAACGTCGTCATTAGCCGCGCCGAGCTCGAGGCCCTGAAGGCGGCCAGAGACGACGGCGAACGGCGGATTGCGCGCCTGGAGGCGTTGCTGCTGTCCGCACAGGATCCCAGGACGCATAACAAGAGGCAGAGATGTCAGAGGGAGGAGCGGGCGCGCGGTGAAGAGAGGGCCTCTGAGCAAGCGCCGGCGGGTCGATTCAGGCTCCGAGGACGCTTCATCCGCGGAGGGGGATGATGTGGAGGCGGAAGCGGAGCACGCGCCGGTCCGCCGTGTGCGCAAGAGGCGCCATATGATAGAGGCGAGCTCTCCCATACTCCAGGAGGCATTTGACTTCAAGCCGGCGGGCAAGGCGTGGAAGGTGAGGTTTGCGAAGTGCGGTCCTGTCTATATACCTGCGTGTCTAGCGTATGTCGTTTGGGGGAGTCCCCGTTTGTATCTAATGGTGTTTGTAAGGGTCCATTGTCTCATGCGGTTGCTCTGGCAGAAGCACTGCGACTTTGTGCGGGAGTACCTGTTTATCGAGCGGGGAAATGATGCTATGACATTCTACCCCAGCAGCTACGACAAGACACTGGGGTTATGCTGGGTCACGCCACGGCTGACGCTGAAGTTTGCTGCTGTCGCGTTGGCGGCAGACAAAGGGCGACGCGATGACTTGAACAAGAGTCTGAGCCAGTGGAAGACGGAGGTTGCAGGCCGTGTACGAGACATTGCGCTGCCGCGCATTGGACTGTGGCGCGACGAGCGGGATGCGAAGAGTCCGTGGAGACGCAAGGAGGCCAGGGAGGCCGCGGAGGTGCGGATTCGCTATCGCGTTCTGGACGACGTCAACGGTACGATGAGGTCGGGACTCCGGGGAGCCATCCCTTCGGCGGGAGTTTTGCTGTTCTGATGTTGCGTTGGCGGATGGTGTGTGCAGAGGATCTAACACTGTCAACCTGGAGCGAGAGCAAGACCGGGATGATTTTTGCTAGTGGGGCATTCACCGCGTGCGCCGCCACCGCATTCCGGCCAAAGAAGGTCACAGGGACAGTGAATGTGAAGCTGTACCAGTTGGCGTGGCTCGAGCACGTGGTAAGTTGCATCACTTATAGTTGCAACTTCAGGGATTGTGAACATGCTCATGCGAGTGCCCGAGATGCTTGTTGGTCCACGCAGGTGACGGACACCATCCTGAACTGGGACAAGCGCAAGGGGCGTCTGTCAAATTCAGCAGGCGGCAACGCGCAGGTGGTGAACGGGCTGCAGGAGGTAGCCGCTGCGGCAGTGGCTCAAGCGATCCAGGATTTCAAGCCAACGTACGATGCAGACGAGGCGGCGTGGGTGTGGGGGGAACATGGGTTGATGCTGTCGTCGGATGGGCTTGAGCACCTGGTTCCCGGCCGGTATGCGCATAGGGCTCCAGTGGCTGATGATAGAGCATCAGTTTCCCTGTAAGCGGGCTGAGGCAGGGGCTGTCGTGAGAGGGCGTTGCAATCGCATCCGACTTGTGGCGGAGGAAGAGGATTAGCTGCCCAAGAAGTGGGAGGTTTAGGCACACAGGGTTTGAAAGTTATCGTTGCAGGCGGGCAATAACTAATGGTTTTACGTCAAGTGACGTGGCTCTGGGCTTGCTCAGTAGTGTTGGTGTGGCTATTAATGGGTTTGTAATTGTAGGATGGCACGTTGTGGTGTTTGGATATGGTGTGGTATGTGTTGTGTTAGTGCATAATTTTTGAACTGTTCCTAGTAATGGCTACCACAAAACGGGAAAACGAATGCAGTAACGCATACATTTCGCGCAAGCGGGATGCATTACAGTGCGCCATCCAATGGTGGGCGTAAAGAGCGCTCCGGTGAGATCGACGGCTGGTATTCACGCCGTGTGCCCCAGGTTATTGCCCGTGTGGACGTAGGATGAAGAGGGTGCACGGGTGTGCTACGATCCAGATTGTGTGTACGTAGGGGTGGTAACGCTGTGGCAAATTCCGGTAATGTTCGTAGTGGGCGCAGGTTGGGCAGGGCGCGGAAAGTGTGCGGAAGAGGGGGGGCCCCCGATGACGCGAAATTCACGGGCGACGGTGTTTGGAGCCAATCATAGGGACAGTGGAGGTGATAGGGTTACGGTGTGGCAATTGCGTTATTGGGCAGGCACACAGGGCTCGGGCATGCACCTCCGTTCCAGTGGCTCCCATCGCGCATGCGGTGGTGTTCAGTGGCGGTATGCGATAGGCCGTTGCTGGGTCTGGGGCGTCGCGCGATTGGTCCACGAGGGCTTCCGCGATGCAACTGCATTGGTGGGCGAAGTGGGGTTACTAGGGGGTGGGCCAGTCTGTATTCAACACTTGCGCGCGCACGAGTGGTGTACGTTTCGGCAGGCAACCGTACCGGGCATGCTGTGCCACCGTTTCATTGTGCCACGGTGGCGCCACATTGTAACCGGGTACGCGCTTTGCGAGGAGTGATGTTTCTGCAAACAGGCTGCAGGTGCGCGGCATGTTGTTTGCGTTTGCAATGCTTGCGGAAGGTGGCGCAAATGTGTCCGCATGTTTGCAGTATTGTGTCGAGGGAGTTGCGAAACAGTTGCAGGGTTGCAACTTTTTTGCAACTTTTTGTCAACTCTGCAGTCACTCGCATTTCTGCAACTGTTGTCCATCACTGCGAAGTTGCAAAACCAAAGTATCCGCCGAGTTACTTTTCTGCAACTTTTCAGCAGCCTACTGGCAAGTCCTTTTTCGCGATGGCGGCGGAGGTGGCGGAAGTGAAGGCGACGGCGGCGCACTCGGAGGCGCGCATCAACGACGCCGAGCTGGCGCTCGCCGCGCTCACGAACAGCAAGACGGGGGAGCGCCGCGACGAGCGCGATGAGGGCGGCGCGAGGAAGAAGCGGAAGCCAGAGGAGTCGCCGGGGAAGGAGGGGGAGATGGCTGGTGCTGCTGTGGGCACCGAGCATAAGCTTGCTGTTGGAGGTAGTGCGGCTGAAGGAAAGCTGGATGAGGCGGAAAGCGAGAGCGAGGAGGAGTGGGGGGCGAATGGCGAGGAAGATTTCGACGCGGAGGCTGAGCTGCAGGAGCTGTGTAACCGCGTGGTGGCACTGGAGAAGGATGCCAAGACATGGGAGGTGAGTGCTTGATCGGTTTATGTGGGTCCTTTCTTTCTAATACTGCTGGGGCACGGATGGCTAATGGAAGATGCTAATACCAATCTTTCTCACACGCCTCAACCTATTTATTTGACCTCGTTGCTCACCCGTGGCTGCAGGCACTGCTGACGCTGTGGAGCAAGGCCACTCCCAGCGAGACGCGCATGGACCTCAGCAGCTGTGTGAACCTCACCGACGCTGCTCTCTCTCGACTCACCTCCTTGCGCTCTCTCACGTGGCTCAGCCTTCGAGAGTCCATTAGCTTCACTGCAGAGGGGTTGACGCAGCTCTACTCCCTCACGAGCCTCAAGTTGCTCGATCTGGCGGAGACAAATGCTACGGACGCTTCGTTGGAAGGTATCAGTAGCTTGAAGGTTCTTAACGCACTTTATCTTGGTGATACCAAGATAACCGATGCAGGGATAGCGAAGCTGCGAGGGCTGCCTGCACTCGTGACACTGGCCTTAGATGGCTGCGAGTCGGTCACCTCTGCGAGCATGGTGCACGTGGGAAAATTGACGTCACTCGAGGCTCTCTGGCTGAGTACCACTGCAGTGGGGGAGGACGGGCTGAAGCTGTTGACTGCTCTGACCTCCCTCAAGGTCTTCAGCTTGCCTTCAGGGGTGACCGATGTCATTTTGAAGCTTCTGAGGAGCATGAAGCGCCTGGAGAGGTTGGGGCTGTGGGATGCAAAAATCACTGTTGACGGTCTCAAATGGCTCAAGGGGCTCAAGAGCCTGCAGGTGATTGCAACTACGTTTGAGAACGTAGAAGCCTTGATCAGGGATAGCTTCCCCGAGATGATTGTCACAGAAGGTCCTATCTGATGTCCAATGCCCCATGTCTGGTACCATGTCTCAATGCAGCTGTATCGTTATATCAAATATTATTGTGACAGCTGTAACTATTTCCTGCTCTATATGCATTGTAGATTTCAATGAAGGTGCTGCAGTGCATCAAGACGAATGAGGTCCTGGCTCGTTGACTTGCCATCTTGTGTATCTGAACTTGGGATACATTTGCGCCGTTGATAGCATGAAGAATGGGCTGTAACATTTTTTAGCATCATTGATTGTTTGGTTTTTTCTTTCAGCCCAACACCAACAACCTCCATTTCTAACCCAGCCTGCTGCCGAAGCTAATGCACACATCCTCGGCACGGCACGTCAAGTCCAGTCAAGTCATCCTCGGTGGCGCCGCTCTGAAGGGCGGCAGCAGCGGCGGAGGGCTCTGCCTCTGCGTCTGTGTAGGCGGCGGTGGCGGTGGCAGCAGTGGAGGCGCGCAGCAGCGGCAGCACAAAGCCCTGCAGCTCCGCCAGCTCTGCCAGCGCATGCGCCTCCGCCCCCACCACCTGCGCCAGCATGTGGAACTGGGGGGGGGGGAGGCATAGTGGGGGACAGGAGGAATGAACAACAAACACCACCTCCGCCCCCACCACCTGCGCCAGCATGTGGAACTGAGGCAAGGGGGGGGTGGGAAGGTGTTGGTATGGAGTAAAGGAAGACACGTGCAAAGAAGAGCTTCCGCCTCCACCACCTCACCACCATGTGGAACTGGCAGGGGGAGAAGTGGTGGGGGGTTGTTGGTGGGGGGGGGGAGGGGTGATAGATTTGGGGGTGGGGAGGGGAGTCAAAGTGTGAAGCCAGAGAAGAGAGAAGGAAAGTGGGTGAATGGAGGGTAGCATGAGGGTAGTGCAGAGTTGGAGGGAGATTGGCACGAGTGTGGAGGAGACGGAAAAAAAAAAAAAAAAAAAAAAAAAGAGAGAGAGAGAGAGAGAAAAAAGGCAGTTGCACAACAGGTAACTGCACCAGCACACTGTGTAAGAGAAAAAGAGGTTGAAAGAAAAGCTTACTTAGAAACAGTGCATGTACCCCCTACTGCAGTTTGGGTGCAGGCGGGAAGAGAATAGAGGTGATCCTAGTGATGGAGAGAGAGGGGTTGGGATGATGAGGATGGGTTTAGGGAGGAAAGATACGCCAAGCAGGGTGTGTGAGGGTAGGGATGGGAGAGGCAGGGTGGGGCGGTGTGACTGTGACAGGGGGCTCGAGGGTTACTGCAGGGTGGTGGTGTGATGACAGCAGGGTAGGAGAATGCGTGGAGGCAGGTGGGATGCAATGGCAGAGGGAGAACTGCAATGCACACGACAAGCAAAGGTAAAGCAGCACTGCAAGAGCATGCAAGCAGGGGGGTTTACTTTCGGCAGAACTGCAGGAAGCGGCTGAGCGACTTGACTGGCAGCACGGCAATGGCATTGGCCAGCACGTTGCGCGCTACCATCTCCTCCAACACCGCTATTAGCATCTGAGAGAAGAGGAGGGGCGAAGTGGGGAGAAAGGGCATTGTTTGAGTGGACACATAAACATTAGCCAGCACATTGCGCGCTACCATCTCCTCCAACACCGCTATGAGCATCTGGGGGGTAAGGAGAATGGGAGACGAGGGAGAGGACGGGTGGGTGGGGGTTGCCGCTTGATGACCAGGCCAGCTCTTGCTGTACCGCTGCTGCCCTGCTGTCCTAGCCACACGCACTTGCCTCCCTTCACTCTCCTGTCACATGCACGCCCTTGCGCTGTGCCACTAGGCAGTCCTCCGCCTGGCATACATGCACATGGGAGGGGGGTGGTTGCAGGATGGGGATAGGGAAGGAGTTGGGCGAGGGGAGTGGGATGCGGTGCTGCTTGCTGTGGGCGCCACATGCACGCCCTTGCGCCGCACCACTCGGTAGTATCAGCATGACACACATGGCACACATGGCACACATGGCACACATGGCACACATGGCACACATGGCACACATGGCCATCCCCATCCTTGAAAGCGAGGTTGGGAGGACAAGAGAGAGGGTCCCGTTGTAGCTGTGGTTAGTTAGGCAGTGGCAGCACTTGGAGCTTGGTGCAAGTCACGGAACATGCACCGATAAAGTGCACACACAAGACAGGGAGACCGCGGTAGGAAGAATGAATTCAATCAACAATATACACGATTGTGACAGCAGCAACAGGAGCAGCAGCAGCACCCACCGCAACCTAATCCGCCTGGGCCTGCGAACGTGACCTGGTATCGGAACGTGTGCAGGCACGTGGCAGCCTTCCGGTGGTTGCCCAGAATGTACAGCGGCTGTGAGTGCCATGTCACTACCGCCAATGCGGTCAGCGCTGCGCTGCCTGCTTGCTTGCTGTGACGCAGGCTGTGGGAGGCGTTACAAGTGAAGAGTGGAGGCAAGACAGAGTCCAGGCAAAACGTGGAGAGACGAGAGCATGCGATGTGCAGCAGGAGCAAGAGCGGAAGCGGGAGCGGAAGCATTGGGAAGAAGCAGACGAGAGAGCCAGCAGCAGGGGGGAGGGGGAGAGGTGTGATGTGAGGGACGGAGGGAGGAAGGAGGGAGAGTTGATGAGCGTGTGGGTGAGGGATGGTTTAGTGAGCGTGTGCAAGGACGAGGTGATGGGAGGTTAAAAGGGCGAGCAGCATGGGGAAGAGGATGGGGTAGTGGATGGGGTAGTGGATGGTGGCTGGGGATAACAAGCGGAGAGAAGGAAGGCTGAGGGGTGTAAGGTATTATGGTTGTTGCGGGAATGTTAGACAGGGAATGATGGTGAACAAGGACGGAGAGGTCGGAAACGGGGGAGAACGAGAGGCAACACAGACGGCTGTGCAGATGAAAGCGATGCGTGCGTGTGGGTGGGTGGGTGGGCTGCCTGATCGATGTGCAAGTGGGCATGGGCGTGCAATGGAGCGTGCATGCATACTCTGTGTGGCCGTTGAGCTGTCTCAACACGCAGGGGGGCAGTTGAGAAGGAAAGGAGGCGAGAGTAGGGGCGAGGAGGGGGGAAGTGGAAGAGGAGGAGGGGGGAGAATGGTGAGTGAAGGAACAGGACTGCGGGGTGAAAACAGCTCTGGGGGGTATGAAGGGAGAACATCAATACCCCACTCACAAGTAACATAAGGCCGAGAAGAGTGGGGAAACAGCGAAGAGGGGGAGGCATCACGCGTGCAGCACATGAGGCGGGGAGGGGACGGAACAGCACTAGGTGCGGAAAACCAAGGTGAATCACGAGTACATTGGCAGCAGGCACGGCACGTGCAGGTAGGAGAATGCAGGGTAGGTGCTCATGCGGACACGACCATGCCATCGCCCGTCCACACCCTTAAACTGGAAGACATACATTCGGGGTTAACTTCCCCTCGCCCATAAAGTCGCTGCCCCTGCCCCACAGCCCCTCACCACCCCCTTTTGCCCCCTCCCTGCCGCTATGCTTCCCACTTTCCCCTCCGTCATGACAGCCACTGTGCCCGGCCTGTATCCCCCTCCAGGGCAATGCGGCCCTGCCCTGACCTGCACGATGCCCCTGTCCCCGCCCGCCATTCGCCCTGAACCGCCCGCACAGCCCCGCGTGATAGGGGCGAAGGAGGGAGGGTAGGGGAGGGAGGGGAGGGGAGGGTGGGGGGGTGAGGGGAAGGCAAGGGCAAAAGCGGACGGTAGACGGAGGGGATGCGAGGGGAAAGGAGAGGAAGTGAGGGGATGGAAGGGAAAGGGAGGGGCAAAGGCGGGAGAAAGAGGGAGGAGGGGAGGAGAGCGGGCGGGAGAGAAGGATCAGATGTGGCAGTGCGATGAAGGGGTGTGATCAGAAACGGAAGAACAGTTTGAGAACGTGACAAACGCCTAGCAAGGATGAGCTTTGGACAACTGAGCGGTGGGGAGGGGTGAAAGGGGGCGGGCAGGGCAGACACGGATGGGATGGGAGAGTGGCGCACGCGGGTGGAGTGGGTGGCGGCGAAGTGGAAGGGCGCGGAGGGGCAGAAGTCGATGGTCGTCACGTTGCCGATCAGCGGCTCCGCCGCTTTCCGCCGGAAGCTGCGCAAATCCCCGCTTCCGCCGTCTCCCCGGGCGCCGCCGGCGCATGGCGCTTGGGCGTGACTAGAAAATCGTCCACCACCTGCTGGTCGCCCATTGGTCGACGCCTCTATAACGGAGGTCTCGTGAGATTTCGAGCGAATCGAGTCACCGAACAAGGGCTGAGCAGCGGCATGGCGCGCGCAGTGAGACGCGCCGGGAATTGAGGAACACGGCCGAGGTAGGCAAAGGTGGAAAGGGAAGGATGAGGTAGGCAAGAGAAGGTACGTGAGCAAGCTGGGCGATGTGTAAGCAGGATGGGCGCACGGCGGAAACCGACTCTTGATGTAGCCTTGGCCAGGGCTTAGCTGAGACGAGTAAGGTCAATTGAATAGTGTAAAGAAAATTTCCGGCTGCCTTAGGGCTGTAACTATTTTACCGGTTGACGGACCGTCCAAGGGCACTAAGTTCGCAAGTTTTCTCCTCGTGAAGGGCTTTGCGAGCGAGTCGCCGGAAAAGGACTGAGCCGCGGCGTGGCGCGCGCAATGAAGTCGCGCGTGAAAGTGACGAGCGTGACCGAGGTGAGGCAGGAGAAGGAATGCGTGCAGACGTTGAGGCAAACGTGAAGCTCAACTGACCACCCAGGGGCAAGTACATGCATAGATAATATATATAATATACTCCGTTGCTCTCAATTGTTCCCGTTTATAATCTTCCAAACGGAGAGTGCACTAATGCGTTAGCCGCACAGCCACCGGGGCAACCTTCGAATGTCACCTGCCTTTGTCCAATCTGCCCCCGAGTTCCATTCCTACTACATTTAGCAGTGCGCTGTGCCTACTAAACCTGCATGCTTTTCGGCACCCAGCCTCACAGCAGTGCTTTGCGCAAGCTTCCCGGATTCACGGCTCCATTTGGACCTCCGCGAGCGTCACGGCCTTGAGAACGAGCTTCGCACGTCCGATCCGATCTGCCCCAGTCGTTGAACACTGAATC